GATGTTGAAATTTTGGAAAAAATGCAGAGAAGAGCAACTAAGAGGATTAAGGGAGAGACACTGAACCATATGAAGAATGCAGGAAATGGATATGGCTAGTCTGGAGAAAAGAAGGACTAGGGGTGACATGATAACAGTATTCCAGTATTTGAGGGGCTCTCACAAAGATCAACTTATTTTCCAAAGCATCAGAAGGCAAGACAAGCAACAATGAATGGAAACTAATCAAGGTTTCAAGCAACCTGGAATTAAGGAGAAACTTCCTAACAGTGAGGACAATTAATCTGGGGAACAGCTTGCCTTCAGAAATTGTGGGTGCTTCATCACTGGAGGTTTTTAAGAAGAGCCTGGACAGCCACTTGTCTGAAGTGGTATAGGTTCTCCTGCTTGAGCAAGGGTTGGACTAGAAGACCTCCAAGGTCCCTTCAGCTCTATTCTGATTGACTGAAGTACTAAATAAAATGTACGTCTGATATCGGTAACCATGAACCAAATGTCATTTTCTATTTGGTTGCTTACTTCTAGTGACCTAAGAGGCTTGCTTGTTTGCTTCCTCCCTCCCTCTATACTGTTCCATTTCCAGAAATTGAGCAGCTTTCCAGTGAAAACCTTATCTCACAGGATGAGTTACTGGACAATTTATCTTGATGCATAATAACAAGGATGCTGTCATCTCATCAGCTACTCAAAGCAAGATGAAGATACCTCAGAATTTTGCTCTTCTTGATGTGAGTATGAATAGACAGGGTTAAACCCATTTCTGGATAAATCTGCCACTGGTTAGCAACTATCTCAGTAAGCTTGCTAATGCCATCCACCAAACTAGTGATGGGGACTCAAGGTTACAAGCTCTTTTTTTTTTTTTTGCAGGACTCAGAATACATCTGAGATGTAGATGCTGAGGAATAGTGGCAAAGTTTTCTGGTATTTTGAGATAAGAAACATTCAGAAAGTTCCAAAATGCGCTTAACCATTAAAAAAATAAACAGTGAAATACCGTCCTTAGTTCAGAAAAGAAGCAGTATGGTACTCTGCTTTTCAAATGTTACCATACCACATTAAGCAGGGATGGGATTCAAATTTCTTAACAACCTGTTCTGTGGGCATGGCCTAATTTGTGGGGGGTGGCTTGGTGACTGGGCGTGGCTTGTTCACATGACTAGGTGGGCATGGCTTGTATGTAAATATTGTGAATATTTATGTAAATATTGAACTTTTTATTTAAAAAAGAGCAACTTTTACCCAAAATCAGGCAAAGCAGGCAGGCAGATTGAGTTGATCCCAGAATCCCAGATTCACTTAGAGATCTACCATTCTGCAATCTGCTATCTGAGTCTGTCTCATAAAATTTGCTTGCAAGCAAACTCACAAAATTAATTCACAACACACCATTATAATATTGTAAATATTGAATTTTTTATATATAAAAAAGAGCAACTTTTACCCAAAATCAGACAAAGCAATCAGGCAGATTGAGTTGCTCACAGAATCACAGATTCACTTAGAGATCTATCTTTCTGCCATCTGCTACTGAGTCTGCTCTGAAAAATAGAAGCTTCAGTCCTAAGAAAGGTTCAGCTCTGCTTTTAGATTAGCTAATGATTTCCTGCTTTCTAGCTAATCTAAATCCTTGGCACAGCTGATAATAGGAACAGCTGATGATCGGAAAATAAAAGGAAAAATAGCAACTTACCAAAAATTAGGCTAACGCAGGCTAGTTGGATGGTGTGCACGCCAGGTAAGGAGTGAGTGGGCGGGGTGGGGTGGGGCAGGGCCAGTCAGTGGTGCAATTTGCCGGTTCTCTGAACTGGGCAGAATCATAACAACTGGTTTTATAGAACCAGACCGACCAGGAAGAATCCCACCTCTGACATTAAGCCCATCATTTAGCTCAGAGCTGATTCCACCATTATATAAGGGAGCTGGCTGCTAGAGGCAGACAATGCCAAATATCCTGAATATGCATGAAGATTTTAGTTACTTAATTTGTTACTGTATTTTTACTGATAGCAATAGAAGAAAAAAAGATACAATTTTCTGCCTTGTGCAGCACATTTATTTAGGTTGTCTTTGTATACAATATTGTGAATCTTGCCTAGGGCAAGTAGAAAATGTCATTTGCTCCTCTAGCTTAGACAGCAAATCAACTGTGTCTCATCCCGATTTCTGCCGTGGTCAAAATTTATACTTATTGCTTCTTTCTTTTCTTGCCTTTCCATATGTCCCTTTTTTCTGTCAATTCTTTGAATCTGCAAAGGGGATTTTTAATGAAATTTTAGAGCTACCAGAAGAAAAGTTTGAGTCGTTTCATTTATTGCATCCTCAGGAGAATGTGTTATATGAGGGCTTGAAACCCAAATCCCTTGATCCCAGAAGCACTATACAGATAGTTCTTGTTTATCAACAACTGGGATTAGCGATTCTGTCACTAAGTAACATGATGGTAAAATGTGATGTCTGTGATCATGCCAACTTACAATGGCATTTGCAGATGTTCTGGTTCTGCCATTAAGTGAATCCTATACAATCATTGAGATGACATCACACGATCACCATCTGCAATTCCTGCCAGCTTCTCTATAGACTTTTGCTTTTCAGACTGCAGCAGTGAAAGTTGCAAATGGCGATCACATGATTGTGAAGTGCTGTTACCATTGCAATTTTGAGCTGGTTGCCAAGTACACAAATAGTGATTACATAAAAATTACAACTACGAGGACTAGTCATATGTCTTTTTGTTCAATGCCATTGTGACTTTGAACAATTGCTGAACAAGTAGTCCATCAATTAGGATTACCTGAAATGCACTGAAATTGGCAAATTACTCTTCAGCCAGTGTAATTAATTTACTCCATTTTAGTGACCCAAAGGAAGAAAAATAGTAACTTATTGCTTTCTGTTGCCTGAATGGTAAAGTAAAGCATAGGAAAATATTATACTTTCATATTATTTCTTCCATAGCTGGAGATTTGTTCCACAAGGGTTGTTCAGAAAAGATTTTCTGAGATTTTCTGAGTTGGCCTCACTCATCAAGAGTGTCTCTAAAATTTTGGTATCATTTCTAAAGGCAGTATTTAAGTTTCTCTGGTGACCAATGGCTTCTGTAAAAAGCATCATTTGCCCAGATTAGCCATGACTGGCTTCACATAACTAGATTCACCTAAAAGAGATTGGATAATTTATTGTTCTGCACTGTGAGATCCCAAGTATTATTTCAGCATGCTGTCAAACTACCTCACCACATTAAATTGCAATGTGGATTATTTGCTTCAACAAAGCCTTGTGAACCACAGCAATTGCTTTTTGATGACTTGGATTGATTTAGATAATAAGCTAACCTCAAGGATTTCATTTGTGTCCTTTTGTGATTTTGTATCTGTGATCTTATTATCTTTTTTCCTTAGAGACGTTCTTGTGATGATATTGCTGACTTTCTTTGGAGATGGGGCAGGCTGCGAGTCTTTAAAGTCAATAACAATAACATGAAATTTGAAATAAATGGAAAAAAGGGGAACGAATGGGTTGGAAATGTGGTTTGCTCTACCATGCTGAACTCTCACAGTGCAGGAACTGAAGCCAGGATGAAGCAAGTAAAAATAATTCATTAACATTTTGATGAATTTAGATCACAATATTAAGTTTGTATCAGGTAGTAATTTGTAAGCTTGCAATGGAATATTGGAGTTGTTATTTTGATAATTAGGGCTAAATTAGTAGCAGATAAAATATCTAACCTTTCCTCCATCCAGGACAGTTTAATTTGATGTTTGTGTGTGAGGATGATCTGTGACATCTGTCTCCCAATGAAGTGCCAAAGCTGATCCAGCTGACTATCCCTTCCTCTCTCACAACTCCATGTGTATCTGCTCAAGATCTAAATTGTTCTTTGGTCAAGGATACACAATAGGAGGAATCTGATCTGGTATAGTTTCCTTATACCTGAGGTAAAATTGGATTTATTAAGAACACCTAGGATAGGAAAGCTTTCTTTGAGAAGAGACAGGAAAATCCCTATTCCTTTGGTCCTTTTATAATAATAGATCGTGAGAAAACTGTGGTCAAAAGGCTTATACATGTAGATCAACTAAAGAATTTAAGTGATAATTAATTAATTAAATGATTAAGTACGGCAAAATCCCTTACTCAAAGGATTTTCTCAACATCTTGTAAAGTTGGATCAATCCACAAAAGCATGATCCAGGTGTTCTTTCTCAATGAATCAAATGACACAGAAACAGACCTTATCTGTCCTACCCCTTCAGCTGGCTCTGAAAACTGTGGGCTCCATACTCCTGATTTTATGCAGCATTGCTCCTTTATAAAGTATTTGAGAGCAATATCTGCAATATGGATTATCTTTAACTCTTGCTATGTTCTTTACCTTTTTCTTATCTTGGTATTATTGTGATATTTATGTGGTAATTTTATTTAAATGTTAGCCACCTTGAGTGTTGGAGCTGAACAAGATATGTTAACAAGTATGTTCTTCAGGCCTCCTTTCTTAATTAATACAGTCATCAAACACTATACTTTTTACCATTTCAGGACTTCAGCTTTTAATATGGGATTGCTTATACATAACATTAGTTTCAAAACTGGAGTATAACGATATGGATTTATTTTTCTTTCTTGCCTGCCCACCTGCTACTTAAATCATTGCCTTTCCCCACCAGGATGGGGAAAAAAGTAAAATGTGTGAGCATTTCAATAGGAGAAAACGTTTTGCTGGATGGTACTTCAAATCCTTGATAAAGCATTTACTTTATAGAATAAGGCAGCTTTCCTTGCATTCCACTATGATTCACTGTCACTATGGATTAAGCATGACAGAAGCATGATCACCATTATAAACCTAAGAGCATTGCACACTGTTATGTAATGAATATAACAGGTCAAAGATCATTTTCATATACAAAGTTCGCAAGTGTATTTTTGAAAGTTGTTACTTCTTTATGAAGGGAGTGAGAGGGTAACGAAAGAGACATCATAAAATCAAAACATTCTGACCAACTTTTTATATCTGCATGACAAAACAATCTGAGCATGAAAATGCCTTTGAGCAGTCTTTAAGGAGTAAAAATACTTCTCTTTTACATTTTTATTGTCAACAAGCCACCTAAACGACCCATTTTCCCATTCTTTCGTCTTAAGAAAAATAATCTTTTGTTCTCAAATGATGGTTCAGTATGAGATTCTAACATTTCAGTTCATCAAGAAATGCATGGTTCTCCTTCAATCTAGCACTCCCTTTTAGGCAAGCTACATGCAGCTCTGCCAAGTTACACCAATTAATTGAAAACAAGAATGATTTGTCATTTAAAGAAACATAGCCAAGCAGTTACAACTAAAAAATAAAATGGATTTTTGTTTTAATTTAAAAGGTCAAAAATAACAAAAGGTATATTTTTGAAACAAACAAACACTTAAACGCAATATATAGTTTATGATACAATATACACTATAGTACACAAAAAGAGCTGCATTGGATATTTAAAAAAAAGAGGCAGGGGGAATCAAGTGAAGTAAACAAAATAAAAAAGGGGAGGGGGGACTGAGAATATTCCATTTTTGAAAAGGATTTTTTTCATTTCACACACCAAATCATTAATAATGACCAATAGAACTTGACAGTGCAAATCCGCACTGGACTTTTAACTCTATTTTTGTAACCAAGTAATTCAGAATTGCAAACAGGTTGCCCTAGATTTTCCATATGGCTCATACATAGCTTTTGCCCGCACTTTTTACTATGTACATCAGGATTTGTGGGCTACAGTCCCACAGCTCTGCTTCATATATATATATATATATATATATATATATATATGGGAGATGCTCTTCCTTCCTTGAACAAAGTGCTGCTGCTACACATACTCTAGAAATCCCTGTAATATACACAGGGCATATCTAGTTTATAGACCATGGTCAGGTCACAGACTCTGCGTTTTGACAGAGTGCTTTCCCTGCTCTGTTAGGTAGGGCAAAGGATTGTTTTGTTTATAAAGAAATTATTAAATTAAAAAACGCTCACAATACATAATTTGAACCTGGGGTAAATATAAGGCAACATTCTCCGTAGAAAAAACATGAAGCTTCCTAAGGAGGTTATTTTATATGTGTGTGTATATATATATATAGATATATATATTTATATATATATATATATATTTATATTTTTAAATATAAAGTAGGAATGTGCTAGGAGGACTGAGTCCCATTTTGGATGGTTTCCCTGCCTCTCATTCAAAAGCTTCACAAGCACATGGGAGCGAGTGGGAAGAGGAACCCAAATTATAAGTGGGGTACGGTTTTGCTGGTGCTACTCTCAAACCCATAAGGAGTTCCTTTGGTGCAGCAGAGGAGGGCCTTGGCTCTGCAAGCTCCTGAGGAAGGTGCATAAATGGGTTTTGCCGTGCTTTTCTAGGTCTGCCACTGGGTTTGTGCTGATTTTAGCATATTTGGAAATGGCATTGCTCTTCCATCTCAGGTTCAAACCTTGAAGTCTGATGCATTCATCAAGAAGTTCCAAAGGAGTATGCCAGTCTGAAGGCAGTTTGATTGAAGGAGCAGCAACCATTCCATTTTTCCTTGGGCAGATGTGGCTGGGAAAACAGTCACACAGTCAGGACAATTATTTTTTTCTGTCCTTTGCAGAGACCATCTTTCATGATGAGGAGTGAAAAGTGGCTCATCACCATACTGCTTCCTTACTTTTCCTGCTTGCATCCCAACCTACAAGTTCTTGATGACTAAGTGGGTTTTATAATGCTTTGTCAGATGATCACTCCTAATGAAGCGCTTTTGGCACTGGGCACACTCAAAACGTTTGTCACCTGATCAGGGAAAGGAACAACAACAATGAGCACAAATGACAACAGCCATATAATAAAAAGCTAATGCACAAATAGCTTACAGAGATCGCTTTTTAAAAAAATCAGGTACATGATAAAACTAAATCCAGAACTAAAACTAAGACCCAGTTTTGTATGGTGATTAGGGCTAAAACATGGAGACAGTAAGGCCTGGTCTCATCTTAGGCACAAAACCAGCTAGGTAATATTAGGCCAGTCTTTCTCAGCCTTATTAAGGAGATAATGGCAAACACTTCCAAAAAACCTTGCCAAGTCCCCCATTGCAGGGATTGTTCTAAGAATTGGATATGATTGAACCAATCTCTCCCCCTCCCCAATAAAATCTAAACGTAAACTCAAGTAAAAATGCATGGCAAGGATGAGGGTTCATGTGCTGCCTGTAGGCATCTGATAAACCACTTTTAAAACCAGAATGCTAGACATAGGTAATCTGATTCAATATTGGAACAATTTTCCACTCAGACTGAAATGTGTGAGTTTCTAGTTAAGGTTAAGTATTTTATGAACAATGGAGATGGAATGATGGCCACTGCAATTAAAGAAAGCTGAACGTGTCAGTACCATAACAGAACAATTGGATTGTGAAATGTAAATGAGCAGATCATGAGATAAAGTGGAGAATACTAAAATCAGTCTAGGATACAGGATATGAATTCTAACTGTGAGCCTAGCAAACTTCTATTCTCAAACATTTAAAGCTTCTAGGATAGCCTATGGAGTACAGGGTAGCCTATGGAGTACATCACAATATTTACAGTAAGTCATGAGGTACCTAGGGAGATTGTCTGAAGGGATTCCTGATGCAAAAATATATGCAATGGGTGCCCCAGTTGGAATTATGCAAAGGCCTTTGTAGCACTTCAGGAACTGTGAGTCCAGGTCGATCCCCAAAGTGGGTTCTGTTCATAAATGGAAAAACTGCAAACCCATCCAAGATTAAAGATGGAGTATTCCACAACAGTTACCTTTTAGGGGACATGGGTAGCACAATAATTTAATAATTCACTCAACAAAAGGAAAGGGAACATTAAACTCCATGGCATCCACAAAGGAGGGACCTAGGGAACAACCTGTCCTCACCAGCACATCAACTGGAACAGGCCTCAAAGGAAGAAAAATAACCATTGCAAAACAGTGCTACCAACTTTTAAAACTAGTCCAGATGCTCCCATGATCAATGGTAGTGAAAGTCACCACTGAGTTCAACAATGGAGGCACTATCTCCATCCAGATCGACCCCATATCATCTACAAGTGTGACCAAGGTTATTGGTATACTAAATTCTGACCTAAAACACAACTAAAATGGGTCTAGATAAGCTGTTTCCTCCAGGGTCCTCTGCAATTGCAGTCCAATTACCATCTCAACAACTTTCCTTACAAAGAGAAGGCTAGAGACAGCTATCTTAAATTGTTGGGTTCAAGGTTGGGTGTTTAAGGTGGGGGACAAACCACTGCCCAATTCAAGGCTGAAGGTACCATCTCCAGTCTCATAGAAATTTTCATCACAGCTCAACCACAAGTCTCCCTGGCCTCTTTAACTAGGAAGAACTGATTCTAACTCACTATTGGCTAGATTAACAGCACAGAAACTCCTGCATCACGTGGGCCCTCAAGAGATATCTCGTACTGATGTGCTCTTCCACATAAAAATGTGAATACAAACACAACAAAGGGGGAAAATTATAGATAGATAGATAGATAGATAGATAGATAGATAGATAGATAGACAGACAGACACCCCTTGAATTGTACTTCAAAGCATACTAGAAACTATTATATTTCTAGCGTAATTACACTAAAAGTATTGCTAGGAATCTGTCCAACAATTAGTTGGGTTGGCAATATATAAACCAACAATGTATGTTTTGTAGCTTTAAGACAAAATCACTGTATTGATTTGTACTGTGTTCCGATTGGTTGATTGTATTGCAGATTGCCATAAGAGGGAGCTAGAGATCATGGCTTGCTCTCCCTAACATTCTGTCTCTCTGACATTCTGTTGCTATCTAAGGTTTATGCTGTGCTTATACTTTGATATTTTTGTTTACTAGAAATGACAAAGGCAATCGGTAAGAAGAATTTTGTAATTGGATATTATTGGGGCTGGAATTGGATATGACCTGGACCGTTTATTGGACTGTGCTATTTCTTAAAGTAAACTTTAATTCAATTCAATTCAGTGTATGGCTGTGTGTGGCTGAATAATTATAACTACTCTCATAAACGTTTCCATGTGCATATCCTTGTTATTCAAGGGTTATTCTGTACATATCATAGCAAGTATAATAGCTTTTAGTGTGCTTTGAAGTACAATTCAAGGTGTAGAATCATCTATAAAGCCCTTCATATTATCACCTATAAAGCCCTTCATAGTATAGGACTACAATATTTCTAAGACTTCCTCTCATTACTTCTATCCACCACACTAATACTGTGTTTCTCACAAAATAAGGCCAGGCCTTTTTTTTTTTTTTGACCCCCGAAAAAACGGCTAGGCCGTCTTTTTTGGGGTGACTTAATTCCCCCCCCTTGCATCCTCAGGTGGGCGGGCGGCGACGGCTTGGATGTTGACCTCGGTGTTGGTGGGGCACTTCGTATCGGGAGACCTTCCGCCACTGTTGCTTTCTCTTCTCCTGTGCTGCTGCACGTTTAGCGCAGCCACGCGGCCAGCCAGGGCTCCTCCCTGCAACCGGAGCCCGGCAGAGACACCCGGCTTCAGGTGCTCCTGTCGCCACCTTCCCTTCACCTTCGAAGGCAAAGCCAATTCTTTTAAAAACGACGCCTCCCCTGCCCGAAAGGACAGCCCAACCCCACGTGGGGAGGCAAATCTCCCGGGCTGCAGCGCAGGAGCGGCCCACCCCGGGAGAAGCACCCAGACGCCATCCCTGTGCTCTGCCCGGTGCCAGGCAGGGATGGTGGCTGGGCGCTTCTCCTGGGATGGGCCGCTCCTGCGCTGCAGCCCCGGGAGATTCATCTCCCCACGTGGGGTTGGGCTGCCCTCTCGGGCAGGGGAGGCGTCGTTTTTAAAAGAATTGGCTTTGCCTTCGAAGGCAAAGGGAAGGCGGCGACAGGAGCGCCTGAAGCCGAGTGTCTCCGCCGGGCTCCAGTTGCAGGGAGGAGCCCTGGCTGGCTGTGCATGGCTGTGCCAAACACCGCGGCGTTGCTCTAAACATCGCGGCAGCATGGGAGAAGGCAAAGCAACAGTGGCGGAAGTTCTCCTGATACGAAGTGCCCCACCAACGCCAAAGTCAACGCAGGCAGCACCATATCCGGGTATGCAAAAAAAGTACTTCCTAACGGCAAGCTCCCCCCGCCATCCCCCCCCCATTTCACATGTTTAATGTAGGCCTTAATTTGGGGGGAGGGGCTTAATTTGATTTTATGCCAATAAAACATGCTGGGACTTCCTATTGGGGGAGGCCGTATTGTTGGAGAAACACGGTACAATGGGAAAGGCATGCTCCAGATTCTGTTTATTACAGAATATCATCAAATGAGACCACGGAGCAGGCATTTTTGGTGCAACACCTGCCCCAAGGAACATCACACTTTCCAATATCCAAGTCTGCTAGTATCTCTTAAAAACATGGCTATTTTTCCAGGTTGGAGATCACAAGGTTAAGGGCCCATGTGATTGATGCAATTGTTGTTTTCTTGATTTTATATGTGCCTTCAATTCTGTTACCCAACCAGAACCACTGTTTTAGAGGGAGGTGGCCATATTTAATTTATGACTTATCTAAATTAACTGAAATGATTTCATTCTTTTTTGAAATCAAGTCTTTCAGCATTAAAACAACTCAGCACATCTTTATTATAAAGGTAACCAAGTTAAGATGAAATGCCTTTTAAGTGTTTAGTATTCACATTTCCCCCCTATCCAGCTGGGATACAACAGAAGAGAAAAGCAGAGAAATGACTTGACAGACCTGTATGTGTTCGGGCATGCCGTTGCAGTTCATCACTGCGTGTGAATCTTTTTCCACAAAAGACCCAATTGCAGGCAAAAGGCCTCTCGCCTGTGTGTAAACGTACGTGGGCCCGCAGAAGGGAAGTCTTGCGGAAAGTCTTTCCACATTCAGGCACGTGGCAGATGTGCCTCTTCTTCCCTTGATCCCCCAACCTACAAAGAAAGAAAAACAGAACAAGGGTTCTTTTAATCTAGATTAATAAAGATGTTGATATCTTTACTGGATTTTACTGTGATGGCATCTCAGGGATCAGATCAATTATGGTATCCTGCAATGATGACTCAAGAAGCAGAACTATTCAAAACCGTTGAAAACATCAAACTAATTTCATATTGATTATCCCATATAGCTTCTGGGAAAGGATCCAACAATGATTCAAAGTACTTTTTATAAAAATACATTGGCTCTTCTGGCATTTACCAAGAATCCATTTCAGTCTTCCAAGCGAAAACACAACACTGCTTGAATAAGTCAACCCCAATCCATTAATCTATCAATAATTTCAGACCTGTCGCTCAATTTAGCAAGGAAGGTACAACCTTTTCAGCTCTGAGATCACATCAATTGTTAATTTTATACATATGCATATGGATACAAGTTTACATCAATTCAAACATCACCCACAGACAGAATTTCAGAAAGCAGGTTCATTCCCTTCAATTCAACCTGCTTAAGATAATAACCAAGTGCAATGTGAAAGAAACTATTTGTTTTCTGCAACTGAACTGATCCTTTTTAATAATCTGATCAGCTTGGTTCTGAAAAAAAGCAGACAAAACTCCAAGTCTTTCTGTTAAATACAATACAAAAACATTATTAAACCCATCCATTACGATGAATATCTCTGTACTGTCCCAGATAACAATTCAATACTATTTCAATTTTCTCAGAGGTAAGCAATTTGGGAATAACCCTGTCTCTTCTTCATGCAGTTATTTTATTTAACATAAAAAACTGCAAAAAGTATTATAGGAGACAACGTACACATATTCAATTATTGGTGCTATATTTCTAAAAGGCTGAAGACATTGTAGGATGCCAAACAATCTCTGGACAAGAAAACAAGAACACTCTTTCTTCTGAAAAGCTTTCCTCAGATAATAATTTAACAACTAGACAATAAAATATGATTATCATAGAATATCTTTCATACTTAATGATTTGTATCCTGCTTGATGGAAAATCCATTTTTTAATCACCTACATATTAATCACTTTACCACAGGCTACGCTCAAACCTATGCAGTTTTTTGTAGGCAACTAATGGAATAGGAAGATATGCATTAACAATATCCATTTTTAAAACTTGTATATCTAAAGGATTAAATGCATCAGAGAACATTATGACACTTTATCTTGGTATTTTAAATTCTGACTTCACAAGATTCAAAATCTTATTACTGTAAAAGTATCTGTAGATAAAGGAGATTCTCAGATGAACTAGAAAACTGACAATGAGGGCAGGAGATGACATGGATGGGCTCATACTCATTTGAGTCTTCCATGTAGAGGCAGGCAATACAGTTTTGAATGCCCAAAGACTGTTAGTAGTCTTAATATTCTTATTTGTTTTAATATTTACATATATTCACCCCCTTCCCAAATATCTGTAATAGTTTTAAAACTGATTCAAGGAAATTTCCTTAATCTCACATAAAAAAGCAAGCAAGGATTCTACTAAATTGGTTTGTTCAGTAGGGGTTATCCATGTTTAAAATGCTGCTTTTATTGTTATAAAGGACTGAATACTATTTATTGATAGCAAAAGGGGAAGGATATGAATTAAATAATTATATAAAGCAGGAACTGAAGTTGGCAGCCTTTGGGTTTAATGCTCCTTTTTGTTCCCAATCCCCACACATTACCTTTTCTCCCCATCCTTGCAATTCGGACAAGTGCAAGCCATTCGCCGTCTCTTTTCCCCAGGCTGCAGGTCCCCCAAGAGTGCTTGTTCCATTTGCAATTGGATTTGGGTAGGGTTCAGGCCACTGATGGTTAGATTGTTGCCTGAAACATTCTGCACTGTTAACTGCTGTTGGCCTACAGAAAGAAAGATGAAGAAACTATGGCTTGAGAATTTCCACTGTTAAAATATGAAGACTCAAATTATTCCAGGAAACCTCTAGGCAAATTCAGATTAAAATACCATGTAATATGAGTTCCATTTTTTCTTGTTGCCTTTTATTGCACAAGGCTTGAAATAAAACCCAGTTTAAGGTTCCAACATTTCCTTCTTGCCTGGCTCCAGAAGCCCAACTTCTCTTCCTAAATTACGTACTAACATTTATATTATTATTGTGTTTACTTCTCTCTACAATATTATTATCCCACTCCAGTACACATTTTCAAATTTGCTACATTATGAGGGAGTTTTCATACCTTTCCCACCCTCAGGAAGATAGAAAGTATGGAGTCCTTCACTGCCATCTCCCCAGCAACCCACCAATATACAGAACAGAAAGAATGCAATGTTTATGATTACAAATTACAATTACTCTGAAAATAAGCAAGCCATTTCCCAGTAATGATAGCATCGTGATATAAACTGCAATTGTATTTTGACATGTCCCCTATTATTAGAGTGAAGCAAGAAGAAATTAGTCTTTGGGAGTACAAATGTTAAAATGAACACAAAATGCTTTACACTTTTCTTCAAGTGTGTCCATTCATCAAGACCTGGCTCTTTCCCCAAGAATTAGGCCAGGATGGAATTTGAACTGGGGGCTTGTTTAGTCTAGCACCTTTGAGGAAGAATACTTTGGGTGTTTTTTTTTTAATCGTTATGAGCAGTCTAGAATCATTATGAAGATGTGGTCATATAATTCCTGTAGATATATACATAACCCTACTTATGCATTACTCTTCTTTGTTACTGACGCTAGAACAAGAAATTTTAAAAAATGAAGGAATTATTATATCACAAATTGAAATATTGCACATCACAGGTTTGTTACATCGTATTTCCCACCTCCGGTATTGGTGATGGTAACAGGAACACCTTGAACCTGCACACCGTTGATGCTGATAGTTTGCATTGCCTGGGCAGCCGCAGCAAGCTGGGCAGCATTCAGGCTGATGATGCCTCCAGCAGGGGCAATCTTTGGCAGAGCACGCTCTTTACGAGCCCCTGTCTTTTTGGTACTCCCCCCTGACTGGGAACTGCGGGGTACAGGGCTGCTGCAGGTTGTGGCTGAGGAGACCGCAGGGGCAGGGCCCATACTTAGGCCCCCTCCTGAGGCTTCTTGGAGCAGGATTGTCTGTAGTTCACCAGTAGGTGTCTTAAAATAGACCTAAAAAAAAGTGACACAAAAGTGAATCACAGGATGCCCCTGTGTATGGAAGGAATGTAGAATTTGACCCAAGTAGACCTTCCCAACCTTTCCCCTCCCCCAAGTTCTGATAGATTATAAATCACTGTACCAAAATAAATGCATGCCAAATTGTTTATATCTCTTGAATGCTTTTATAGGAAACTGGCATTTAAAAAAACATATTTATAGGGAAAAAAAGTAATTGGACAAGTTGTTTTTTCTATTAGAACCCCTAGCCTATTTGTACCCAAGAATTCTAGTAATTATGTATTACTTGGTAACTCCAAATTGAGTGATAGTTTTAACTAATAAAAATATTTAATTTTTTTAAAAAAGCGCGGGGGGGGGGAGAACTTTCAATAAAATACCTGAGTGGGAACTGGCTCCGTTGTCTGGATCTGGAAGTTTTGTTGGGACTTTTGGGGAACTGTAGGGAGTGTGGCTGAAGCTGCCTGGACTACCCGTAGGGCTTGCTGTGGTATCTGAACTACCTGTTGCTCTTGTTTGGGCTGAACTACTTGCACCTGTTGGACCACAGCTGGCTGCCCAGAGCCAGGACTCTGCACAATCAACAGATTGTTCCCTGCCTGGATAATGTTGTCAGCTGTAGTCTCTATTAAGACTGTTTCCACTTGCTCTGCCATAGCCATTGCAGTTGTCTGAGCTTGTGATACCATTTTCTTTCGGGATTTTCTGCTTGGTTTAGAGGGGCTGTCGGGCACAACTTGACTTTGAGAACTAGTCTCCCCAGCAGTTACAAGATTGCTCACTGGAAGAGTAAGTGTAACATTGCCACTGGTGCCAGTTAACTTGACAACACTACTTGCGTTGTGGAGACTGGATGCTGATGACTTATGAGCTGGAGCTGGCTTTATTGGCACAGGCTTATGAGCTGAAGTAGAGGACGACGATGATGAAGAGGAAGAAGAAGGGGTGATATTGCTGGGAATAATCTGTATTTGATTGCCCAAATTTTGCTGCACCTGAATCGTCTGTCCTGATGCTGTTTGGATCTGTGGTACCGTCTGATACTGGATATTGGCAGGAGAGCGGGTTCCTTTGCTGATTAAAGTTGGGTTCTGGATTGTAAATACTAGCTGTCCACCAGGATATGATGTCCCCAGTTGGGAACCTTGGATTTGAAAGAGATTTCCTTTTGACGATAGGATTCCAATGCTGTTCTTATTAGAACTTAATGGGAGCGGAGCAGGTTTAATAGGAACCAATTTCCGAGGGGCAGGCTGAGGAGGAGCCGGAGAAGTAATTGCTGCTTCTACAGCTGGAGGACCAATTTTGCTACATGTGGCTGCAAGAAGGGCTAATGGAGATGGCTGAGAATCCTACAGGAATGGAAGAGAAAAGGCTTGGGTCAAAAGCAGAAGACAAAAATAGTTTGTTCCAATATAATACAACCCAGAAGAATGAGAAAACCCAGATTTTTATAATACAGGGTTTTGACTTTGTATTAAAATAGCATATCATATTCTTAAATCAACAAGTATCAACATAATTGGATCCAGACTAATTGTGAGGTGCTATAGGCTCATCAAGTGCAAAAGAACTAAAACTTGACTAGTTTAGGATCTATTCCACTGAATTTGAGTTCTGCAAACATTCCAGGTAACATGTATTCAAAATATGAATTATAAATGTATATGATAGTTTGAGAGATCCAAAATATTCTGTATATAAAACCCATACAAGGGAGAAATGAAGCATTCCCAAATACTTTAAAAACTATCATTATTTATTCTTATTTTTGTACTCATTCTGCATTTAATACTTTTACCATTTTCAGCAATCAAACCTCAAACTGAATATCTGTGATAAACATTTTATAAACAAAAATTAGTACTCTGTAAGACTCATACACAGTAAGAAGTGATATCGTTGTCGTATATAATGGTGGTCATTCACTGACTTCGAATGGAGCTTGGGTGCCAAGACAGAACAGATTTAGAAGATAGTCCACTAGTTCTCTCAAGGAACTAATGATTTGAAGCTGATTTTTATCAAAAAGAAAAAAAATACATTCATTTATATGAAGTAAATAAGAAGCAGACTTCTCCTAACATTGTCCACTTCCTTTGTGGCAAGGATGAAGGATCTCTCTTTTTTTCTAACCTATAATATAGGAAAATAGATAAGGCAATCCTTTCCTAGCTTGAGAGTAGATTAAATCTTTTTATTGAGACCTGGCCTGCTGCATGCTGCTGTATTTTACAGTTACACTGTGACCTCTCATTATGCTCTGTAAGTTTTATTTAATTCTGCCACAAAGAAAAAGTTACAGCCAAATAGATATAGGGAAGTAAAATTATGTGACAAATATTGCAGAAGTCGGTTAAGTTTCCCACTGGAAGTATGTAAACAATGCTTAGTGGTAAAATGAAGGGAATATAGAATGTAGACAACAAAATAAATTAGAGAAAGCATGTTGATGAAGAGTTCTTAATTATTTTGTTTAAAATCCTTTATCAGAAGAAAGCATCCATATTTTCTTTTATGTAATGAAATAACATGTTCTGTTTGTGTATGCAGTTTTGTGTTTTTCCTTTTTATCGCATCTGTGTTTGCAGGCTTCACATGCTCCACTCTGGGCCACCTGATCAGAAGGAATAAGAACTTAGAATGGAGCGATCAGCAGCATTCTTAGTTGCTGCCCAACTGCCTCTCCAACAAGGTTAAGGGGTATAAACTACTCTGCAGCCCCAAGCCAGATAGGGCTCTTAAAAAAAAAAAATGCTTCTTTTAGGATTTCTCCTATCACATGAATTTTGTTTCTTTCTGTTTAGCTTTTTACAGGTTTATGTTTTGGATGGGTAGACCATCTGTTCAATCCAGGAGAATAGGGAATGCCTGATGGAGGTCCTGCCCTATCAGGAGGTATGAAGAAGGATCACTGAGCTCAGCATTCTTAGTAATTGCTTTCCTTTGATGACCATCCAGAGAAGAGTTAAAACCTGATTTGTTGGCCACTTTATATATAAATTTTTTCCAACATTTTACTAGGTTGGAAAGAATAAAAAAATGCATAGAAAAGACAGTTTTTGAGAGAAGCATTACTACAATATATAGGAAAATACAGTTGTTAACAAGGTAAGTCAAAGAAAATAAGGACTGGTTAAGATTAAGAGGCACAGGAAATATAGAGTGATTCTGAAAGTGAAGAGGGCTAAACATGCATAAAGTGAAACCAGTGATGTACCAAGGCGTGAAGTTGCAATGAATGCTAAATGTCAATGTCAAAAAAAAAGTAATAAAGAGATGCCATGAATGCTGTGCCTATGCTTAAATCTAAGGTTGCAATTATTTAAGGAGTAGCTATGCAACCGTGTGTGTTGTCCATGTGCGTGCATGTAGAAAGACTGAAATTCCATCTGATGATTGGAACAATGTCTTATTATTCCCTCTATAAAGAGAAAGGGAACAAGAGTAAATGCAGAAACTATCTGTTAAGTGTGCCCAGAAAAGTGTTTGGCAGAATTATAATTAAGATGATGCAAGAGGTAACAATGAACAAAATTTGGGAAACAAAATGTTCTTATGTTAGGTAGGAGTATTCTGACCTGAGTACTAGTATTTAGTAAGTAATTGTGAAATATGTTAAAGTAAGACAGTTTATTGTGTGTTCATTAATTTACAGAAGATGTCTAATAAAGTGAATAAGCAGACTGTTTTGCACAAATACAGAGTTTAAGGTTATTTGTTAAATGCAGTGAGAGGATATATTATCTAACAAATGTATGCATGAGAATAAATGGAATACATAGCAAATGGTTCAGTCCTGAATAAGAGAAGAATAAATTATGTTTTCTTGGTTGTTTAATGTATTTATGAATAAATTGATAAGGAATGCGTTAGCAAATATTATATGGTATACTGCAGTGAAAAAAATAATGAAGATCAAGGCAATAGTATTTGACATGTAAAATGGAATGATTAATAGCTAATTATATGCAATGCCAAAAAAGCTGGAGTAAATTAATAAATTTATGTAGTTTGGTAGAATAATTACAAAGATTAGAAAATGGACAATGAAATTGTTAGGACATACAAATAAATGTTAGTAGGACAGTAACAGGTAATTTATTATCAGGAGAATTTGTAAAAAGAAGAAAACACAGCTGTGTCTAGGACTTTGTTTCTGCTCAGCTTGGTTTATGAAAGCGAAAGGCTGATATGTCAGGTTAAAAAGTAACTTGAATGCAGGGAAAATACAGAACATAGTACATATTATTGTAAAACAAAATAGGGTCAGAAATTATTAGGTGATGATGAATGAATAAGGACTGGATACAAAAATGAGTGGCAAGTACAAAAAACACATTCTTCTAGTTTGTTCCTGGAGAAAAAAAATTAGAACTGATTAATGTGGGGGACATATAAAGTAATAATAAATCAGCTGATGTCATGCCCCTGGTGGAGACTGATGCTGAGGAAGAGGAGGAACAGCCAACAGGGAGTGGGAGTGTGGCTCCAGAGGTGGTGGAGGAGGCTGGGGAAGGGCAGAGGCCGGCTGAGCAGTCAGAGGAGGATCCAGGCCCATCTCCTATCCATCCTAGGTCACGCAGGGAAGAGAGGATCAGGGAAAAGCGAGGTCTACTCAAGAGGAGATTACCATGATCCTCCTCGTGGCTTGCAGGTGGGAGCTATGTATATAAGTTTACAACTGCGCAGTTAGAATTTGCAGGAGTTAATTTAGTGTTCACCTTGAAAGAGGTTTATCTTTGCTGGCGTTCTTCTCATGGACTTTTCTCGGTTATTTTCCTGGAGTTTATGATTAGTTATCTTGGCTTGCTTCGGAACTCTCATCAATGCGGTTTGTTTTGGTTTTCTGTTTACCTCATTATTTACTTTTGTGACTTTTAACTGTGTCTAATAAAACAGTGAGGTTAAGTTGAAGGCTTTACCGGACTTTAATGTATGTTTTGGGTTTTGGGTTATTTTGAGAGACTACGGGTCATCACAGCTGCATAGAAGAAAAATCCTGAGAAACTGGGGCTGGTTGCAGTTGATAAGTTCTTTTAAAAAGTAAGGATTTTAAAGAATAAAAGCCAAAGAACAAAGTCATGTGTGGACATGATGGATTTCCAAGGGCAGAAAGAATATAGTGAATGGTAGGGGTATAAACTACATTTAATCATATTTTATTCTTTTTTCTTATGACTTAAATATATTTGGCTATGTGTTATTTCCTTTTCTTGCTTTGAATAATAATGCTTACCATGATGGAAACAGATGAATGGGTATGCATGTAAGAAAAAAAAATGCTATCCCTTTCCCAACCGTTTCTTCATTATGATGCAATTATTTCTTAATGCATCTACATTTCAAAATATAGAATTTAGAGTCCTACTAAATCTCTAAGAAAGTAGACTTAAGGAATATTTTCAGAAACAAACTAAAGTCTAAACCTTTGGGATGATACAATGATGATATAGAACATCTTAGATGTTTCTGCTGAAGGCAGTGGGATGGAAGCTATATTTAATGAAAAGCATTCTTGATTTTGCTTTGTGAAAGGGAGCCTCTTAAGATACCTGAAAGCTGTTACATAGAAAAATCTTCTCTGGTAGCCAATAGCATATAAAAGAAAATATTTTTATTTTCTACCAGATTTTGTAGTCAACATGCTTTCTCATGAATCTTTCCTCTGAAAGATTCATAAATGAGTTATTGTCCTAGTTAAAACTGGAAACTTTCTTTTATGGGAAAAAAGCAAAGAAATATTTTTCATTACAATGCTTTTATTAACTTGATTTTTTATAAAACAGAGAGTTCTATGTTATTATGAGAGTTCATAATCTCATATTTTCTATGTTCCTAAGAGAAATTATTGCATTGACCTTGTGAATCCTTCTGTGTGTTTTCAATGATTGTTAATCATTAAAACTGTGCATACTTCTTGCTTCAAAAATGATATTGAAGATGTGCTTCAGGTTGTGTAGTATAGCATCTCTTTAAACTTTCAGAGTTCTGCTCAAGCTTGAAAACAAATGTGGCTACTTTAAGGAGTTGCATTAAGGGTGTAGTCCTTAAAGCAGTTGTGCCTCTTTTCAAGCTCGCATGGAAGCCAAAGAAGACACAGCTACTTCAAAGAGATACTGAATTCATGATCCAGCACTTTTGGAAATGTATTTTCTAGATCATTTTCAAAGCATGCACACTCCTATTTCTCTGAAAATTCCATTTATAAATATACTGATTAGTAGCCATAAATTTTTATCTATGTTACTCTCCAACAAATATCCAAATCATCTATACTACTGGTAGTCTTGATAAGTGAATTATACATCTTTTATCGGTCCTAAATTATGTACTTGGGTTGGGGACAATCCCAGCTGAATCTTTGGACATGCTAAGAATAATTTTCTTAAACATGAAAGAGAACTGGTTTGTCACTGTCTTCTTTTGGGATTTTTTTTTCAACTTTCTAGTTTAACCTACAGCCCTAGGAATGTCTGATGGACTCAATTTACGTATTAATCAAGTGTAAACTTTTTTTTAGTAGATGCTGCCACTTGTGAATAACAATATATGTAAAAAAACTCAACTGTTCTCTCATTTTTTTCACTTCTGCCACATATACTTTCTCATTTGCTGTGCCAAATTACACATATTTTTACATGCAAGATATCTTTAAAAAAATCAAGCAATTGCTTAGTCCACCAAACCATTTCGAGACAAAGTTTTTAACATTGGCAAACATCACAACATGTTGTTCCAAATATGTTTACATATGTATATCAAACAGTATAATGCCTAATAATCCATACTGGAATATCAACACAAGAACCTAAAACACTGACTACAGCATGCAAACATCTTACACAGTATTATAATATAAAGTTATGTTCAAGAACAGCATTGGAATTTGAAGCATAATAACATTATTTGCATTAATCCCTGGACTTTTAGGTAAACTAATTCTTTTCTATAGTAAACCCTTTCATCAGAGAGTATATATATAAATGAAGCAATGCCATCAACAGAAAAAAACCCACCTGAGCTGCTGAAGCAGCAGGCTGTAAGTAATCACTGGGGCTTACCGCAGCAGTGGCAGCCATACTGTCTCTAAATCTGGAAAAAAAAAAGTTTGGTTAATCAATTAATAATCTAAACTGTTTTTCAATACTGATAGTAAGATTTATAGTGTGTGCAAAAAAGAGATATTAGTACAGAATGTGTCATAATACACTAGTCTCAGTTAAAATTATTCACAGCATAAAAGTAGAGTACAGAATTTTATCTACAGCTAAAGTATTTATTTAAATGAATCTATCTTAAGCATTTTTTTGCTAGTGGACCTGGCAGATATCAGAACAATAAAAAGAAAGTTGGGTTAGAAAAGTAGTGTAAAAACTATTAGAATGAAAAAAAATGCAACATATTTGAGATAATTTGACAGTGATGCCATCAATACTTAGTAGGACTATTTTGGGGCATATTTATCACATCTGGAAAGGAAAAAAATATATTCTGACCTTCTGCTACCTCATAATAGAAACAATCAGCCAAATAACTGCAAGACAGAATTTAAGCAAAAGTTTTTACAAATTATGAGCATCAATATAAAAATATATGCATTGTTTTATGGTGCTTACACATTTGTTGCATGTAATAAACTAAAAAAATAGTAATATTGGCTTTGACACATTTTACAAATATCTATTTTAAATTCCTAAGCAGCAATTACATTCTAATTATGACAACTTATTCATGGAATTCTGTATATGGAAAATATTCCAAAAGCAAATAACTAGATTTTACAGTTGTGGAGATAAATTTGAAACGTAGAGATGATGATTATCAAAATGAAGGAAATGGGGAATGCAAATATCCCTGTGCATTTGGAATTACCTCTTCTCCTCCACCACCCTAATAACACCATACTTGTCCATATCAAGTATTAGCCTACCCAGTACCCATTTAGTTCTTCAAAAAAGTAGTTCAGTTACTAAAGAGTGATGTTGATCAATTAGCAAAGCCACAAGTAGAAGGCTCAATATGGATCCAAGTAGACTATAAAAATAAAATGGCTCACCAATGTTTCCTACATCCATAAAAGAAGCATGTTTATAAGAAATACAACCAAAATTACAATTAGTTCCTTCAATAGGCACAGACATCCTAGATGGCAAATCTAGAGGAACACATTTCATCTAGATTTGCCATCTTCATCAATAGTTCTTCATCAACAATTGTTACCCTTTCAATGGAAGCAAATGTAAAGTTGGTAACTATGACTCATTCTACCAATTTCATAAGATTAGGCAAAATGGGATAAGGTTTTAAAAGAGGATGAGAAAGAGAAAAATATCCTACTCTGATCATTACTTTTAACAGGCAATTCGGTTTCTAGATAGATTTGTTTATTTAAATAATAAGATTTGTATGGCTACCCATTTTAAATAACTCTGGGGGTCTTACAACTACTGTTCATGTTATGTCAATGTTCATGTGACATAAATGTCCATGTGACATAAACTGAAATGTTGGTTCATAGGCTTTCAAAAGGACAACGGAATAAAAAAAAATTATAACTTATTTTTGATAGGATTTTCTATGTTCTAATTTACATTCATAGTGCAAGATGGCTTTCACAGTTTAGATTAAACATGGTGTGCTGAAAGCCCATACCAGGAGCTCTAATATAGGTAGTCCTTGAGCTACAACTACCATAGCCCAAAATTTCTGTTGCTAAGTGAGTTTTGCCCTATTTTATCTTTCTTGCCACACTTATGTGAATTTATTGAAGTTATTAAGTTAGCAACTGTTAAATGAATCTGGTTTCCCCATTGACCTTGCCACTCAGATCACAAAAGATGATCACATGACCCCAGGACACTGCAACCATAATGTAGTCAATTGCAATATGTCTCCATTTTGATCACAAGACCATGAGGATACTGTAATATCGTGTTCCCGAAAATACGACCTATTCGGAAAGTTAGTCCTACCTTGATTTTTACATGCGCCCAATATAAGCCCTACCCCCAAAATAAGCCCTAAAGACCTCGCCCACTCCAGGTTACATGGGTAAAAATTAAGCTAGGGTGGGGATGGAGGGGTGGACTCCCCTACTACTTACCTTCAGATAGTTATAGCCAGGCCTCGCACACCTTGACCCATTTCCTCTGCAGCTGGCAAGACTTTACTGAAGCTCTGTTATCAGCTACAGGGGCCTTTCCTGAAGGAAAGCCTTGTTTTTCTTGCCAGCTGAAGAAGTTCCTGAAGGCCTCTGACAGCAGAAAGGAGGCCGGGAGCAACGCGTGCAAGTGAGGTGAAGGGTCTTATTTTGGGGGGAAACACGTGAAAAAATGGTCATAGATCACTTTTTTCAATCCTGTTATAAATTTGAACAGTCCCTAAACGAAACTGTTGTAAATCGAGGACTACCTTTTATAGCAAATTCTTATTTGTAAGATCAAGGTTAAATATCACTCAACCAGTGAGGAAGGATTTAGGGACTTAAAAGCAAGTTTTTGAGTTCAGAAAGAAAAACCTCAGCCACAAACTTTTAATGTCATTTTAAAAACTTAAAATATTTTATTTATATTTTATGCTAAAGTCCCAAGTTTTTAATTCGAGGAATCATCATTACTGAGATCCTTAAATCCCAGAAAGCAGTATTTTGAACTCATTTTCTTGAAAGAAATAAACACAACTGTCAGCCTCCAAGAATTTTCTTCTGCTTGTCTCTTTCCAGCTGCCGTAGAAACGGGGGAGGGAAGAATAATTGGGCCTCGTGCGGGAAAGGGTGCTGAAGGATGAAGTTGATAAATTATAAAAAGTTGGGATACTTTCTTGATTATGTTTACTTGCTTACTGTGCAGATGTATATAGATGCATACCAGATATGTAAAATGCCACCTAAAGATGCACCCACATGACATGAAACCCACCTCAGATTGGATGGCCAGTTTGAACTATTGGGGGTGGAGACATAGGATAATTTTCTATATGTGATTTTCGCGCCTATTGCTTCAGATCTTGTATTTCTTCTGATGCTACCACTTCAAATTCAGTAAATGTCCTTTTCTCTATAACAATGGTTTTCTTTGATTTTGAATGGAGCTACACCTGACATTATACAAGATCTCTGTTTTTACCAGCCCACCTGGAGATTTACTTTTTTATCTTCTTAGGGGGTCTGAAAACAATGTCTAACTCAGCCAGCGATCAAGAAGATCTGGGGGCTGCTGGAACTACAGCCTCACTGCTTCTTGACACTCAAAAGGAGGCCAAGTTGCTGGTGGAGTTGCAGATCTAAGAGAAACCGGTGGTCCGACCCAAATGGTCTCTGGGATGGAAATTATCAGAAGAAACCCCCTCTGGGGGGATGACTGCCAGATGCCAGAGTGGAGAAGCTGCATGGCAGGAGGAAAACCAAAAAAAAATTCGGCTGACCCAAGCATTGCATCTGTTTAATGAGGCCATGGAGGACTGTAGAGCTGAAGAAAGTGGATTACTGACCCATGAAGAGCCTGGGGGAGAGAGGAGAGGGGCAGAAGCAATTGGAGCTCCACTGGCCATTCCCATAGCTCAGCCCTGGCTAGCTCAAGCAGCTGCCATAGCCCAAGCCCCTTCCTGAGAGGGTAGCACCACGGAGGCGCCAAATTCCAAAAGTTCCTCCGCTGGAAGCAAAATATGGAAGGGATCCCAAGGAATTGGGATTCTTCCTAGCCCAAGTTTGGAACAATATGGAGGAATATGGGGATGATTTCGCCTCAAAGGCAGCTAAAGTGAGATGAGGGGACCGCAGCAAAATAGTCACCCTGCATAATGATGATGCCCCTCAATTGAGGAACTATGACCTTTTTATGGCAGCCTTGTGCGCATGTTTTGAAGATTGCAAGGCTAGGATTAGGATGAAAACCATAAATCAGGGGCGAAGGTCTATGGCTGAATACACCCAGTAATTCAGAGAGCTGGTGTGCCATATATGAGGGTGATCCCAAGAAGCCCTGATAGAAGCTTTCAAGGATGGGCTGAAGGAAGATGTTTATCAAAGCTGTATCTCCAGAAGAGATCTTAGAGACCTACAGCTCTGATATGTGTTGGCTGCGGATGTGGAAATCAATCTGACCAGAAACAGATGCAGGGGTGGTCCCGTCTGGAACAAGCCCTCTCCTACCAACCCTCGAGAGGCCTCTAAAGTTCAAAAGGGTGGATCGGCTGTGAAACCCAAAACCACAGCGTGCTTCCGATATGGGAAGGAAGATCACTGGGCTGCAGATTGCCGTGCTAAGCTGGATACAAAGGGGATGCCGGCAGGAGGAAATTTTTTTGAAAAAAATCCAGTCAAGCCATGCAAAACAGCCCTAAAGGTGATGGAGGTCATTGAGTTCGCTCCTTTGGGAAGAGAGGAGCTGGACCCCTGCTGGCGAGAGTGAATCCAACTCCGATGACAATCCTCTTTTAAGTCCACAAAGGGGCCCCATGACCATCCCAGGGGAATTAAGGGTGCCTACCTCTGATACCCGGGGGAGAATGTTGACCCTGCTGGACTCTGGGTATACTAGATGTGTAATTAACTTAGAAGTCATGGAGAAACTGGGATTGAGGCTAAGAACTTTAAAAACTCTCATAGCCTTTTGCCAACTAGATGGGTCAGTAGCCGGCGGTGGCCCTGCTCATTTTATAATGGAGCCAGTGGAAATGTCGATGGAAGGACATCAAGAGACTTTATGTTCTATTGTGGCCCCTGGGATGGAGTGCCCCTTATTACTTGGATTGCCCTGGTTTAGGAAATGGAATCCCCAAGTGAACTGGAGGAAAGGGCTGCTGTGCATATGCACCGACCAACATTGGAAGGGGAGAAGTTGTCTCTTGTAAGGCCCCAGAATTCCATGGAGTGGGTGTCAATGGCTAGTGAACGCATTGTGGGAGAAAAACAATCCCTGAAGAATATTGGGACCTAAGGGAGATTTTTAGCGAGAAAGTGTCAGATGTGCTCCCCCCTCATCGCCCCACAGATTGCAGCATTGAGATTCTGCCAGAGGTGAAGCTCCCTAAGCCTATTCAATGTATTCAATGACACAGTGAGAATTGGAGGAATTGCGTTTATCATAAAAACCTTAAGTGAGGTTTCATCCAGCCTGCCAGGCCTTGAGTGGCGACCCCAATATTGTTCCGAGAAAAGATGGCTCTCTTCACTTATGTGTTGACTACCACAACCTTAATGGAATTTGCGTAGAAAACGTTTATCCACTCCGCTTAATGAAGGACATGTTAGCTCACCTTGCCAAGGGAAAATTTTTCACTAAGCTTGATTTGAGAGAAGCATACTACCAAGTCCGAATGAAGGAAGGAGATGAATGGAAAACTGCATTTAACTGCCCTTTGGGCTGTTTCCAATTTAACGCATTCCTGTTTGGTCTGCAAGGAGCCCCTGCCATATTCATGCAGTTGATAAATGAAGTGCTGCATGAACATCTATACAAGGGGGTGTTGGTTTATCTTAATGACATCCTTATCTATACAGACCTTGGAGGAGCATGTGAAATTGGTGCCGTCAGTTTTGAAAAAACTTCAGGCAGCTAAACTGTATGCTAAGTTGTCCAAGTGCGAATTTCACCAAGAGAAAATTGGTTATTTGGGTTACCGCATATCGCTGAAGGGATAGAGATGGACCCGGAAAAAGTGCAGACCGTTTGGAATGGGCTCCCCTTGTACCAGAAAACAATTGCAGACTTTTCTAAGGTTCGCTAATTTTTACTGTCAATTTATCCCAGCATTCACAAAGATTGCATTACCTATTACAAATCTCCAAAAGACTAAAGGAGAATTGAAACCAAAGCCCAATTGACTGTTGGAATGGTCCATGGAGTGCCAACTGGCTTTTGAGAAGCTGAAATTACTGTTTGCAGTTGAACCAGTGCTTAAGCATCCAGATATGGATGCCCCTTTTGTGATCCAGGCCGATGCAAGTGATGTCGTGGTGGGAGTGATGTTGCTTCAATCAAATGAGAGTGGAACTTTACAACCTTGTGCTTACACCTCCTGAAAACTGAGACCAAAAGGAGATGGGCTATTTGGGAAAAAGAAGTGTTTACTGTCTGATGGGCATTAACTTGGAGGCATTTTGTCAAAGGAGCAAAACACCCGAGGTGTGGATGGATCATAAAAACTTAGAGGCCCTGAAAACCCCTCGAAAATTGTCTCCCAAGCAAATTCATTGGGCACAATATATTAAGCGGTTTAATTTTTAATTGAAGTACCTGCCGGGGGAAAAAAATTTATGGCTGACACTCTAGCTAGACTGCCCCAATATAAGTGTCCGCCCAGAAATGATGTCGTATTGTTCCTACAAAGCAACTGGCTGATCCATTGGTCACCAGAGCCCAGAAACCTTTCAAAAGATCTAACCTTATAGTTAAAGGAAGCTTTAAAATTGGATGGTTGGTTTTTAACCCACTCAAATGATTGTACTATTCACGATGGTCTAGCATGAGTGGGGGCCAAATTATATGTCCCAGCTATCCTTATGGGGGCCATCTTAAAACAAGGCCATGATTTGAAAGCTGCTGGACATTTTGGCTTCGTGAAAACCTTACATTTGGTCAAACAGCCTCGTAGTCACCATTCCCCCCCCCCCCCCTAAAATTTGGATATAGTCATACCAGTATAGAAGAATGTAGATAAAATGATTGTTTGTAAGAGTATATAATGAGTTGAATAATTTTTCAGTTACATTTTGCCAAGTTAAAATACACTAGAGTACATGGGTATGCATTTTAAGGAGGGTGAGGAATATTACTAAACGCTTTCAGAGTATCCATTCTTTTTCTTTATATTTAACTTTCTATTTGCCCCACTCCATTTAGCATCGCTGGTAAATCTTATTCTGCTTTTTCCACAATTTCACCCCTTTTCCCTAAGAAGTAGGGACTTTAGCATAAAATATAAATAAAACATTTTAAATTTGACATTAAAAATACTTGAGTTACTTGTGGCTGGGATTTTTCTCTTTGAGTCAAAACTTGCTTTTAAGTCTTTTATGTGATTTAGGACCTATAGCCAATTTGGATTAGTAGTTAAGATATTGGGTAGAAATTAGGAAACTTCAATTCTAAGCTTCCTTTAGACCAGTTTCATCATTTTGGACCAATCACTCTTAGAAAGCTGTGTCACTTTAGACCACTCACTCTCTCAGCCCAACTCACAAATTAAATGTTCACAAAAAATATTTTTAAAGGTTTATGTGTGTTTATTTAATGTTGATTCTCTGTATACATTGTGCACACTTTCTTATTTTCCTTTCTTTTTTATTTGCCTGTAATTTGTCTTTTTTATTGTCTTTGCAGTTATTTATTTAATCTTATCCTTGAAATAATTCAGAAAAAATATTTTAAAGATGGGATCCAATATAATAAATTTAGGATTTACCTAAAGGTTAATCACCATTGCAAATCAGAATCATATCCAATAACTGTAATAACAATCACATAGTACAATAAAACATGCCTTGTTGCTAGATTGTTTAGTCTTTTTAACTGGCTGCATAGTACTGATCTCTGAAGAGTAAACAAAGACTTCTAATTCAACATACCAAGCATTTAGCCCCGCGATCTGTGCTACATCTTTAGTGGAAGATGTTTTCTTCTGGTTATTCTTTAGGATCCTATGGACCACAATTTCTTTTTCAATTCCATTGGTTAGGTCTGCAGAACACACTGCCCCAAACTACAGTTGGCTAATTTGTGTTTCAATGTGTTGCGTTGAGCATTATATTATAAACAAAGTTAAAGCAGAATAATCAAAATCTGAACAGGATTTTATATACGCATGTTTTACGCATCTGAAGCATGCATACAATAGCAATTGGGACATGCACAGCAGTATACAGTATATGAATCGATTTTGCATTCAAAGTAAACTAAACTGAGGTCAGTTAAATTGAGGGGGTTCTATGACTAGCTTAGACTTCTATGTGCTTCTAAACTAAGCACATTGAAGTCTAAACTGGATTAATTTAAAAACAATCATTGTGCAAATACAGTATTTGTACTGTATTTGCAGCAAGCAATCTAAAAGCACAGCAAAGGATTGTCATCATCCCTTGCACCCCCACCAATTATATTTTATTCTCAGTACATCTGAATACAGTACTGATACTTCAGGAAACTTGCTTGTTAAGTCCAAAGGTTTGAAATGCTAGGCCTGCCTTATTAACCTGATAGTCTTGTGAATTTCCTCCATCACTTACAGTCATCTATCTCTTTTTCTCTACTGTACCTTTGTGCTGTTCATCTGTCCAAGGTTAGAGGCAGCATTATCTCAGTCCATTTTTTCTTCTCTTTACAATCCTAAGCCCATCTCTTTCCCTTCCCTGGTTCCACCATTCTGATTCGGCATGCCCCCCCACCTCCGCTTAGGCTTGTCCCAGTGCCCTAAAACCACATATTCTCACTGTCGTCTGGGTTGGGCGACTATCTCAAGTCTTTTCATGCACACATTCTCTACTGTAATTGACAGGACGGTCACTGTCCGTCCTCCAGTTCCTTTAATTCTCCAGTCTTAGACCGTTTTGTTAATCTACAGACCTTTCAAAATAGCCTGGCATTGGAGGGGGGGCACAAGTCAACATATATTTGAACCAATAATATTACAGAAAGGCCCACTTGTTTGCTGTCAGGTTATTGTTAGAAAGTACAGGTACACCTCCATTAAAAAAAAAGGAACTCAGAATATCCCGTCGTTTCCCGCCTCCCGCTCTCTGAACACAGGAATAATGAATGGACACTCTCGTTCTTCCCCCGTCACCCATGCCTGTTTTTCTTATGGGTCCCCGGAGGCGGGCTCTCACCTTAGCCCCGCCCCCTTCCGGTCCCATTTGCTTCAGCCCTGTTCGCGCACTCGGGGGGGCCCCTCCCAACAAAGGCCCCCTACTCGCTTTACAGATCCCACCTCTTCCTCCATTTATCGCCCCACTCCATTTCTTGATTTCTCCTCCCATTTCTCCCCGAGCACGAACTCGGTCCTCCGAGCTCGCTCACCTGCTAGAAAGGAATCGGCAGCGGTACGGACCCCCCTCAAGGCGCCATTTTCATCCTCGGCAGACCGGGCACCGCCCTGTAATCCCCGCCTACCCCGCTGAGACGTGACCAATCGCTTTTCAAGGATTATACTGCTTGATCAATCAAAATACACGTTGTTCGTTCAGATGACCGCCTCCAAATGACTGGCATCAGTTCTTACCAATCTTTCCTGCCTACTGAAACGTCGAAGTTTAGCCAATGTAAAAGAACGCGTTTGACAATGATGGACGTCAATGGAAAGTCCAATCGCTTGGACGGAATCACAAATTGACTTGAATCCTGACCAATTGATCTTCAGGGTGGTGTCACGCTTATAATTGATTGATAGGCAAGGACCTGGGAGAAGAGGAAAAACAAACAGAAATACAGAGCTCAATAAAAGGGGCGGGATTCTTTCGCAGAGAAGTTTCATTGGTCAAGAAATTACCCGAGAAGCCAGTAGCAAGCACGCACACTCATATACGCCATAAGGAGGAAAAAAATTGTTATTGCTGATGTTTGGATTTAGATAGAGCTGTCCAACCTTGTGCTGCAATTTCTGGGTGCCCACTGGGGGCAGCAGCGGGCCAGACTTTCCTTTTTTTGTTTTCTTCCTTCTCCAGGTTCTGCAGCCCTCGTTCTAGGATGCGGGATGAGAACCAACATCTGCGCTGTTTAGGGAATCTCTTAGATGGCGCGGTCAGAAAGTTAGAGCGCGCCGAGGACCCTTGCGAGGTAACGAGGCTGGAGCTCAGCGCGCAAACCTTTTAACCTGCGAAACCCACATTTGGCCTTGGAACCTCAATTTATTTATTTATTTATTTGACAAGCAAGTACTAGATAACATAAGTAATAATAATATAATAATAATAAGTAATAATAAGTAATAAGATAGATAATAGATAGGTACTAGATAAATATGTGATCATATCAAGAGCAATTGCGTTCTTTTCGCAGATGATGTAAAGCTGTTCAATACCACAGACAATACTGCTACCCTACA